GCTTCAGGCGTAACAAGTGGTATCAGAGCGAGGGTTATTTTGAAACATCGATACAAAAGCATCCCAGGATAGAAGTAAATTCTGTTTGAGATCATGGAGGGTGATACAGGTTCCATGATAAAATTGACAGCATCGAATTATTCAATTTGGAAGCCTATGATGGAGGATCATCTATACTGTAAAGATTTGTATGAGCCAGTATTTGGTGATTCGGCTAAACCAGCAGATATGAAAGATGAAAGTTGGAAGAAGCTAGGTAGAAAGACGCTGGCTACAATCAGAAAATAGGTTGATATCAGTGTGTTCCATCATGTAGCGCAGAAGTCAGATGCTCACATTGTTTGGGAAAAATTGGCAGCATTGTATGAGAGAAAAACAGGTATGAATAAAGTTATGCTTGTTAAAAAGATTGCAACTTTACAGTACAGGGATGGACGATCTGTTACAGAGCACTTGAGTGATTTTCAAGATATATTTAATCGGATGACTACTATGGAGCTTAAAATGGATGATGAAATGAAGGTATTATTTCTTTTGGGTTCATTGCCAGACAGCTGGAATACTCTAGTTGTGACTGTTCTTAATTCAGCTCCTGATTATAAGGTGACATTGGAGATGGTAAATGATAGTATGCTTAATGAAGAAGCGAGGCGAAAAGATGTAGACCCTGGGAATCAAGCTCTGGTCACAAAGAACAGGGGTAGAAACATCGACAGAGGTCAGGACTCAAAAGGCCGTGGTAAGTCTAAACATAGATCCAAATCTAGAGGTAAAGTGAAGTGTTTCCATTGTGGTAAGGCGGGTCATATAAAACGAAATTGTAGAATCTTGAAGCAAGAGCGAAAAGATGAGAAAGGCAAGAGTTCAGATGATGGCAATGTTGCAGCAGTGAATTCAGATAGTGATTCAGTTACTTTGATTTGTACACATGGCGATTGTAATCATGTTAGTGATCCTGGCATTGAGTGGATAGTTGATACAGGAGTGGCATATCATTGTGTTCCTAAGAGAGAGTTGTTTACAACTTACAAAGCAGGAGACTTTGGTTGTACCAAGGTGGGAAACAAGAGTGTGTCGCAGATTATTGGGATTGGTGATATTAGTGTACAAACTAGTACAGGCTGCATGTTGACTTTAAGGGATGTCAGACACATTCCAGATATGAGCATGAACTTGTTTGCTATTAATGTCCTTGATAAAGAGGGATATGAAAGCCGACAAAAGAATGGATAGTGGAAGCTTCTCAAAGGATCTATGGTAGTTGCAAGGGGAAAACTATGCTGCACAATGTATAAGACATGGATGCAATTGAACGGTAACCAGGTAAATACCGTTGAAAATGATGCTTCAGCAAACTTGTGGCACAGGAGGCTGGCACACATGAGTGAAAAAGGGTTACAGGTTTTGGCAAGGCACTCTCTCATTCCCTTGACCAAAGGTATGTATCTCGATTCATGTGATTATTGTTTGTTTGGTAAGCATCATAGAGTTTCTTTTTGTAAAAGTTCTCAGAAAAAAGAAAATAGATTGGAATTAATTTATTCTGGCGTATGTGGTCCCATTGAGGTTGAGTCATTAGGTGGTAGTAGATATTTTGTTACTTTTATTGATGATGCTTCACGTAAGACTTGGGTGTATATGTTGAAATATAAAAGTCAGGTACTGCAGTATTTTCAAAAATTTCATGCCATGGTTGAAAAGATGACAGGGTTACCCTTGAAGTGTATTCGAACTGATAATGGTGGGGAATACACATCTAAAAGTTTTGAAGAGTATTGCTCAAAGCATGGGATCAGGCATGAGAGGACAGAACCTGGAACACCGCAGCATAATGGTATAGCTGAAAGAATGAATCACACCATTGTAGAAAAAGTCAGATGTATGTTGAGGATGGCAAAATTACCAAAGCCATTCTGGGGTGAAGCAGTCAACACAGCTTGTTATTTACTTAACAGGTCACCATCAGTTCTTTTGGGCTTTGACATTCCAGAAAGAGTGTGGACAGAAAAAGATGCTTCATACTCTCACTTGAAAATTTTTGGGTGTAAAGCATTCATGCATGTGCCGAAAGAGCAGAGATCAAAGCTTGACAGTAAAGCTACACAGTGTGTGTTTGTAGGATATGGTGATGAGGAATTTGGCTACAGGATATGGGATCCAGTAAAGAGAAAGACAGTCAGAAGCAGAGATGTGGTCTTTCATGAAAAAGAAACCATAGCAGACATTGAGAAAAATGAGAAGACTACACGAGTTACTGTTGAGTGTGATGTTTCAACACCGACAGAGATTTCACAGGAAAGAGCCACAGATGGTGAAAATGAGCCAGAAACAGAACTTGGGGATATGGATGAGCCAGCTACAGTTGGTGATGAGCCAGATGCTATTAGTTTTGAGCAGGGGGAGCAATCCTCTCTACCTGAGAGTGTTGAGCAGGGGGAGCTACCTTCGGCATCAAGTGATGTAGAGTCTCAGCCTAGGAGATCTACTAGAGAGCGCAGGCCATCTACCAGGTATCCAAGTTCAAATTTTATTTTAGTTACCAGTGAAGGGGAGCCAGAAAACTTTCAAGATGTGCAGGTTACTCCGAATAGAGAGCACTGGTTAAAAGCAATGAAAGAAGAGATGGAGTCATTGTGAAAGAATGGTACTTATGATCTTGTTAAACTTTCAACAGGGAAGAGGCCATTAAAGAATAAATGGGTGTTCAAGTTGAAAAAGGATGGTGACAAACTAGTGAGGTACAAAGCTCGATTGGTAGTAAAAGGTTTTTCTCAGAAACCAGGCATCGATTTTGATAAGATTTTTGCTCCAGTTGTAAAAATGAGTTCTATTCGAGTGGTACTGGGATTGGCAGCTAGTTTGAATCTTGAGCTTGAGTAACTTGATGTTAAAACTGCATTATTGCATGGTGATTTGTAGGAGGATATTTATATGAATCAGCCTAAGGGTTTTGAAGTGAAAGGGAAAGAGCATTTAGTTTGCAAATTGAAGAAAAGCTTGTATGGCTTGAAACAAGCTCTGCGACAGTGGTACAAAAAGTTTGATTCTTTTATGGTGAGTCATAGCTATAAAAGAACAGCAGCGGATTCTTGTGTGTATATTAAACAATTCCCTAATGGTAACTTCATTATCCTATTATTATATGTTGATGATATGTTGATTGTAGGACAAGATGCTAGTATGGTTTGCAGGTTGAAAGAACAATTGTCTAAGTCTTTTGATATGAAAGATTTAGGTCCAGCAAAGCAGATTCTTGGTATGGACATTATCCGAGATAGGAGAGCTGAAAAGCTGTGGTTGTCACAGGAAAAGTATGTTGAGCGAGTGCTTGGTAGATTCAACATGCAACATGCTAAATCAGTTAGTAGTTCACTTGCCAACCATTTTCACCTAAGTAAGAAATCTTGTCCAGTGTCTAAGGAAGAGCAACTAGCTATGTCTAGTATTCCTTATTCTTCTGCAGTCGGTTCTTTAATGTATCTTATGGTTTGTACAAGGCCTGACATTGCTCATGCAGTTGGTGTAGTGAGCAGATTTCTTTCTAATCCAGGAAAGGTTCACTGGGAAGCAGTGAAATGGATTTTTAGATATTTGAGGGGTACCTCAAAAATGTGCTTGACTTATGGAGTTTCACAACCAGTTCTAGAAGGGTTTACTGATGCTGACATGGCAGGCGATCTTGATGGTAGGAAATCTACTTCAGGGTATTTGTTCACTTTTGCAGGAGGAGCTGTATCTTGGCAGTCTAAGTTGCAGAAGTGTGTTGCTTTGTCAACTACAGAGGCTGAGTATATTGCAGCAACTGAAGCATGTAAAGAAATGCTTTGGATGAAACGTTTTCTTCTTGAATTAGGGTTCAATCAGAAAGAGTATGTGGTATTTTGTGATAGCCAGAGTGCTTTAGATTTGAGTAAGAATACCATGTATCATGCTAGAACAAAGCACATTGATGTTAGATATCATTGGTTACGTTCAGTGATTGAAGAACAGCAGATGCTATTGAAGAAAGTCCATACTGATAAAAATGTGGCAGATATGTTGACTAAGATACTTCCTAGGGAAAAGCTTGAGCTTTGCAGTAACTTGGCCGGAATGAGTTCCCTGGCCAAGGTAAGTTCCAAATGAAATTGCTATGGTGATGAATCTCCTTCTAATGGGACTGGAGGGGGAGATTGTTAGGAAAATGGGGTCCAGTCCCATGTAAGTGGTTTTGGACCAAGTAAAGGCCATGGGCCTTGATCTTTTATTTTACACAGAGCCCTAGCTACTTAATAAAAAAGAGGTGGGGTTGTTTTATGTGTGTGTCGACAACCAAGCAGAGAAAGAAGAAAAGCCAGGAAAAGCAGAGAGAGAAACAGGAGAAGGGAGAGTTGGTTAAACGGAAGTCGATCCGTGGTCCGATTAAGTTGGAACCTTGTCAGGAGGTTTATGATTCAGAGTTATACATTCTGAACGGTGAAGATCGGGTTTGAAGCTCTCTAGGAACAAATCCAGGGTGTATTTGTTGAGTCACTTATTTGGTGAGATTTCTCCAATTGTTTCTCTAGTTGTTGATTAGCTCTAGTTTTAGCTAGAGAAGAACTTTGTATAACTATTATTTGATAGTGAAGATTTTTCTGGTGGTCCGTGGTTTTTTCCTCTACACTGGAGGGTTTTCCACGTAAATCTTGGTGTGCTTTATTTTTTTTGCGCATTTGATTATTGATTGTTGTCTATTGCTTCTGTATTGTTGTGATTATTGCTTCAGGCGCAACATTTTTCCTATGAAATACTAAATTATCGTTGCCATTTCGGGTTTGCTTTTTAACTCTTTCTGTTACATATATGTCTCTATGCTGCCTGTAAGTAGTACTGTGAAGCTGATGCTTTAGAGTTGCAGATCTGGTAGCCTTTTATTTTATTTTTGTTGTGAATTTAGTCATTTCTTTTGAAAATTAGATTTCTTGTTACATTATTTAGCATATTTTTTAAGTTGAATTAAGGGTATATAAAATTGGTTTTGCAGAAATTACGTGATGGATACCTTCCTATTCACCTCGGAGTCTGTGAACGAGGGACATCCTGACAAGCTCTGTGATCAGATCTCCGACGCCGTCCTCGATGCCTGCTTGGCACAGGACCCTGAAAGCAAGGTAGCATGTGAGACCTGCACCAAGACCAACATGGTCATGGTCTTTGGCGAGATCACTACCAAAGCCAACGTTGACTACGAGAAGATCGTGCGTGACACCTGCCGTGGCATCGGTTTCACATCTGATGATGTGGGTCTCGATGCTGACAACTGCAAAGTGCTAGTTAACATTGAGCAACAAAGCCCTGATATTGCCCAAGGTGTTCACAGCCATCTCACTAAGCGCCCTGAGGAAATTGGTGCTGGTGATCAGGGCCATATGTTTGGCTATGCCACTGACGAGACTCCGGAATTGATGCCTCTGAGCCATGTTTTGGCAACCAAGCTTGGTGCTCGCCTCACTGAAGTACGCAAAAATGGAACTTGCCCTTGGCTCAGGCCTGATGGCAAGACTCAAGTCACGGTTGAGTATTACAACGATAAGGGTGCCATGGTGCCTGTTCGTGTGCACACTGTGCTCATCTCCACTCAGCATGATGAGACTGTGACTAATGACAAGATTGCCGCTGATTTGAAGGAGCATGTCATCAAGCCGGTTATTCCTGAGAAGTACCTTGATGAGAAGACCATTTTCCACCTTAACCCATCTGGCCGTTTTGTCATTGGAGGTCCCCATGGCGATGCCGGTCTCACTGGTCGCAAGATCGTTGTTGATACTTATGGAGGATGGGGCGCTCATGGTGGTGGTGCTTTCTCTGGGAAGGACCCTACCAAGGTGGATAGAAGCGGTGCTTACATTGTCAGGCAGGCTGCAAAGAGCATTGTTGCTGATGGACTTGCTAGGAGGTGTGTTGTGCAGGTTTCCTACGCCATTGGTGTGCCTGAGCCTTTATCTGTATTTGTGGACACATATGGTACTGGAAAGATACCAGATAGGAAAATTCTGAAGATTGTGAAGGAGAACTTTGATTTCAGACCTGGAATGATTGCTATCAATCTTGATCTTAAGAGGGGGGGCAATGGCAGGTTTTTGAAGACTGCTGCCTATGGGCATTTTGGCCGGGATGACCCAGACTTCGCTTGGGAGGTTGTCAAGCCACTCAAGTGGGAGAATATCCAGGCATAATTGGACCTTCTTCAGATTACTTCTGCGCTTGATTTATTGTACTTTCTAGCATTCGAGTTTGATTATTGGGCTATGCTCACATTTTCATTCACTTTTGTTTGTTTTCATGTGTTCTTTTTGAAATTTCAATTGATTTATGTAAGGTTTGAAGCCCAGATCTAAAATAAGTTGGAAGCATCTTGTATCTTAGAACAACAAACCAAACCTTGAACACTGTGAGTTATAAACAATGAATCAATAACTAACTTAACAACTGCACTGCAAATTCCATAAAAATATTTCAAGTTAGAAGTAAGCAACGAGAATAAACAATGCTCACAAAAATTTTATTGATCTGCTTTGATTTTTTTTTAATTTCCTTTCATTTTATCATCATATTGCTTAACCAATCAAATGCTTGTAAAACTAAGCAACCAAAACGAAATTGTCGCCACACATCAACTAAAAGTCGTTTCACTTTCAATAAGATTTGCATTCTACATGGAGCTTTTCTGCTTCAAAAGCTGAAGGTTTCCCTTAGCAGCAGAGTATCATCAAATAGAACAATAAATAAATCGTTGAAGCCAAGCTCTGAAGAATCTCAAAGAAAATTGAAAAAACAAAAAACTCTTCATATTAAAAATTCTTTTAGTCTCTCACAACGATGTCACAGTGATTTCCTAGCAGTCTATTTCACGACGATTTCACAATTGATTTTTATTTTTAAAAAACATATTGAAACCAAATAAATCCATGAGTATAACTTCGCAAATACAGATCTACAAACTATAAGAAAACAAAACTCAATATCTAATTAAAAACCTAAGAGTAAGAAAGCATATACCCGTTGTATCTTTGGGACGAGTTGCTACATCACATCTGCTTTCAAGCGACTCAAGATGAATGGTCCCAAAATGGACTGAAACGAATTTGTAAAGAACAAATGTTCTATCCTATCTCATTTAGGGTTACGGCATGTATATTTATATTATGAGATAGTACAAGCATATTTACATATAATTAAATGTACAACTATTGATAACATATTCTAATAGGGAGAACTCCACAAGAGCTTGTTCTTAAAATAGAAGAAAATTTGAGAAAGAAAGTCCCTTGGTAAATGTATCAGCTAGTTGTGATTGAGAACATATGAAAAGGACTTGAAGAAAATGCTTGCAAACAAGGTCTCGAACAAAGTGATAAAAGGTCTCTATATGTTTTGTGCGAGCATGAAAGATTGGTTGGTAGTAAGTTGAGTAGTACACATATTGTCAGAATGTATAGAACAAGGTAGTGCAAGAGGAAATCCAACCTTATTCAATATATAAGAAATCCAAAGTATATCTCAAAAAGCTATAGAAAGAGCCATATACTTTGCTTCAGTACTAGATTGAGCAACAAAAACTTGCTTTTTAGTACACCAAGAAACAGGATTGGAATATAAGAAAATACAATGACCCATTGTAGAATGTCTAGTGTCTGGACAACCAGCCTAATCAGCATCAATATATCATACCAGATTCGATGTAGTGCAAGGAAATAATTGAATACCACAATTGATAGTTTCTTTAAGATATCTCAAGATTTATTCCACAGCCTAAAAGTTAATATCATGAGACGCATGCATAAATTGATAGACTTGTTGCACAGCATAGGTAATGTCAAATCTAATAAAGGTAAGATATTGTAAAGCTCCAACAATAGTGAGATATTGTTATAGGTCTGAAAGTAAAGTTCCATCATATAGAAAAAGCTTCTTACCAGTAGTTACAAGAATAGAAGTAGATTTGCAGTTTTCCATACCTAAACATGAAAGTAAAGAAAACACATATTTTGTTTGTATCAGCAACGAATGCTTAGGTGTACGATATGCCTTTATTGCAAGAAAATAATGAAGATCAACGAGATCTTTCATTGAAAATTGCAAAAAAAGCTGTGAAATGAATGAATGAATAACATTTACTAAAGAACCAATGAGAATGATATCATCAACATAAAGTAAAAGTAGCATCATGTCAAATAATGAATGCCATATAAACATAAAAAGATCTAACCAAAGGCATAAAGAGCAAAACTAAATCTTTGAAACCAAGCTCATGGAGCTTGCGAAGACCATAAAGAGAGCGATATAATTTACAAACATGATAGGGATGATTAGGGTCCACAAACCCTAGTGGTTGTACCATAACTTTTTCATGCAACTAGCCATATGAAAATGCATTTTTGACATCTAATTGCCTAATGGACCATCTTCTACTAACAGTAATAGAAAGAATAATTCAAATAGTGGTGGCCTTAACAACAGGGCTAAAAAAGGTGGAGTCAAGGTCAATACCTTTTAATTATGTAAAGCCTTTGACCACTGTAGACCCTCCATTTTGTCTGGGATCTTTTGTCAATTGAGACTAATCCTAGCTCAGTTGCAAGGATTTTTATTCATTTTTATTTTAGATTTTTTTATTTCATATTTATCATTTTATTTTTATTTTATGATTTATTTTTTTTCTTTCTTTTGATTATCTGATTAATTAAAAAAAAAGAAAAAAAAAGCTGAAAGATTGAAATTAAGCTTGGTGATTGTGATGATTGTTATCTAGATGCTAATCTTTAGCATTGGATGACTAATTGGAATTGAATTGAAACTCTATCAGCATGGGTCTATATATCAACAATGAATATACAAGTTGAAAGGAGGAGAAAAGATAGAAGAAGAATCCAAATAAGAGAGGAAAAAGGTAGAGTCAAAAAGGGTTCAGTCTTTTGTTAGCAAGGGGACTGCTTAGAGTAGTATCGAGAAGGCGTGAGCTGCTTTATGAAAGCTGGTAACCTGCTTGCTAGGATGCTGCTTGAAGCGGTACAGTTTGGGTGATTGCTATCTTTCTTTATTTGATCAAAGAATCCTACTTTCAAGGGTCAGATGAAGAGGCTGATTATCTAGTCTGGATGGACCCTGGTTCCATTTGAATTTGGCAATTGGTTGATCTCAGTCAAAGACTCGATTGTATTGAGGATCTTTAACCAAGAAAAAGATTCAGCCTTTCCCTTCGTGCACCACAAAGAAAAGAATAAAAATGAGGCACTTTCTTTGTCAAGCAATACAAACCAACCAACACAACACAGCAATCACAGCCTGCATTTAGTAGTGGTATATTTAGTTCCTCCACACCTTTTAGTTCAAGTTGCTTTGCATTTAGTTCCAATACTTTTGCTTTTGGTGCCACGAGCACTCCTGCCTTTAGTTCCACAAGCATCACTGCCTTTGGTACCCTTGGCTTTGGCTCATCTGGAAGTCCAGCATTTGAGAGCACTGAAATTGCATTCGGTGTGTTTAATGCCCAGGTGTTTGGAATAGGGGGGCACATTTGGAGCATCAAGCACACCTGCTTTTGGCATTTTAGGCACTCTTGTTTTCGGTTCTTCTAGTTCTGCATTTGGGGGTTCCATCCCTCATATTTTTGAAGCTTCAAACACTCTTCCTTTTGGAGCATCTTCTACTCCTTCATTCAGCTTTGGGTCTAGCCTAGCTTTCGACCAATTAACGCCAACATTCGATAGTTCTCTTTTTGGAACCACCACATTTGTAGCCCCGAGTTCTCTTTTTGGGAACCCAATCTTCTGTACCAACATCTAGAAATACTAGCTTTGACTAATCACCATTTGAGGGCCAACGTGAGGGAAGTAGAGTGGCTCCTTACACACTTACAACCGAAGTAGATAGTGGGAGTAGTGCACAGCCAGCTGCAAAGCTGGGGTCAATATCAGCAATGCCTGTTTACAAAGATAAAAGTCATGAGGAGCTGCGATGGGAGGATTATCAATTAGAGGATAAAGGTGGACCACAGGTAGTTGCTCAACCTTCTGAAAAGGCTGGCTTTGCTGTGTCAACTGCGCCTACTAGTCCTTTTGACTCTTTTTCAACATTCAGTCAAACGTCTGTAAATCCATTTTCCAACAGCACAAGTATCACTCCATTTAGCCTAAAACTGTCATCTTTTAATAGTACAGGTTGTACAACCTCGACTACTACATCAAATCTTTTCAATCAACATCATCAAGCCTTTTTGGCCTAACTTCATCAACAACTTCAGTATTTAGTTCATCTGCAACTCCTACATTTGGAATCAATCCATTTCTTTTTAGCTCATCTGTCACTCCTTCATTTTTAACTTTGCCATCGATTTTTGGTACTGGTGGAGCTTCGATAACAATTCCAGCATTTGCTACTGGTTTAAATTTCATTTTCTTTTTTATTTTTTATTTCCTTTAAATAAAATTCAAAAAAAATATTTTTGAGGAAAAGTTGAAAGTATCAATTTTCCTTAAAAATAAGCTTTTCAAAAAATATTTTTGGAGAAAAGTTGTAAGTATTAATTTTTTTAAAAATAAATTTTTAAAAAACGTTTTTTTTTTAGGAAAAGTTGAAAGTATCAATTTTCTTCGAATTTAAAGTTTCCAAAAAATATTTTTGGGGAAAAGTTGAAAGTATCAATTTTCCTTAAAAATAAATTTTCAAAAAAAAATTTTTGAGAAAAAGTTGAAAGTATCAATTTTCCTCGAAATTAAAGTTTTCAAAAAAATATTTTTGGAAAAAAGTTGAAAGTATCAATTTTCCTTAAAGATAAATTTTCAAAGGGATTTTTGAGGAAAAGTTGAAAGTATCAATTTCTCTCGAAATTAAAGTTTTTAAAAACAAAAATATTTTTGGGGGAAAAGTTGTAAGTATCAATTTTCCTTAAAAATAAGTTTTCAAAAATGAATTTTTGAGAAAAAGTTAAAAGTATCAATTTTCCTCGAGATTAAAATTTTTTAAAAATATTTTGGGGAAAAGTTGAGAGTATCAATTTTTTCTGCACAAAAACAATCATTCTTTTCTTCATTTTTATTTTTTTTAATGTTAAATAATTCGACGATGGAGCTTCTGCAAGTGAGACAGTAGTTTTCTTGCATACTCCTGAGGTGAAGAAATTTTCTCAAATTTCTGCTAAAAGTATTAGAGTCAATTGAGAATAATTTTCAATAATTAATTACTTGGTAAA